CCTCCGCCAGCTGTGACTCGTCATTGGGCGTCGGTGAGATGGCCTCAAAGGTGCGGGTGTAGTCTTGTGAAGAAGTCATGGAAATGGAATGTTTACCCTGATCGAGTGATTCCCGCCATCAGTTTAAGCCACAAACCTTGTCTCTGGCCTCATTGACGGCCCTCGAGTCGATAAGTAGCTCTTGGCTCAGCTTTGCTCCCTGCTGACTTAGTGATGCCGCCGCCGCCAAAGTGGCCGAAGAGGCAGTGGAGGCGGAGGAGGAGGAAGCGGCAGAACCAGGGACATTGCCGCCAGCATTGCCACCGGGAAGTCCGCCACCGAGAGAGGAGTGCGCCGCAGTGGGGTGGTGCATGCCGCCTGCGTTGGCCGCAGCCATTGCAGCGGCAAAACTCTGCCCCACATCACCACCGGAAAGACTCATCAGCCGTGGCCTCTTCGCCTCGTGAATCTCATTCAGCAGGTGCCCAGGCGAGAGGTGGTTGTGGTGAAGATGCGCCGAGGGGGCGTTGCTGTGCTGCTGCAGGTGATGCGGCGAGGCGTGGTGGTGCTGGTGCCCAGAGGCGGTCACCGAGGCACTGGAGCTCGATGGCGTCGAGTAGTGGCTGGTCAGCACTGAATGGTGCTGATGGCCGGTGCTGGAGGAAGGCGCCGAGGAGCTGACTATGGCCGGGTTGAAGGGCGAGTGCAGCGGAAATGCTCCGATGGGCGGCGGTGGAATGAGCAGTGGCTGTGGCTGAGAGGAGGGCAGCGAGTGGGAGACGTGGTGAGAGTTGCCAGCCATCGACTGACTGAGATGATGCGCGTAGGGCGATACAGAGGAGATGGATGAGACGGCCACGAGGTTGTTTGCTGCGGAGGAGGAGGAAGAGGAGGAAGGTACCCGAAGGTCGTGGTGTGGCGAGGGCCCTGTACGGTCAGAACCAGAGTTTGATTTGCCACTTCGTGCACTGCTTTCATACGGCGAGTACCGGCTGAACAGCTCAAACCTATGAGTGAAAGAGAGAAGGAGAGATACAAATGAAAGACAAATGAGCTCAATTACTCATAGTTGTGAAATGCAGCGGTAGACGTACTTTTCACGGTCATTAAAGTGCAGACCAGCATTTCGGCTATTAGCCAACGAGCTGGAGCCATTGGTGCTGCCTGAGGAGGAACTGTTTAGTGCCAGGTTGAACGCCTCCGCATTGGTCGGTCCAGAGTTGTGGGGCAGCAGGGAAGGCCTTCTCCGCGAGGAGGAGGAGGACATCGTCGAGATGCTGGGATTGCCTGAGGACATCGAAGTGGCACCGGCAGAGCTGGCGGCACTATTGCTATTAGCTGATAGCTGGGCAGCTGCAGCCGCCACCGCGGCATTGTTTGCCTGAGCTTGGTGCTGGGCAGCTACAAGAGCGGCTACAGTGGGATTCAGCCCAGAGATGCCTGGAAAGCCGGGAAAGCTGACGGCGCCATTCGCAAGGCGATTACTGTAATAGCTCTGCAAGTTCTGGTCAGCCACAATTGCAGCCGCCTCTTCGCGCTTAATGCGTTCAATATTGTGAGACAGCAACAGCTCTTGAGCATATCGGTCCGACTGAACATAGTTAGGAAAAAAGAAGGGAAATGCACCTGTTAGAAAACAAACTCACACCAGTGAAGCGCAGACAGGCAGACAGCTGCTGCTAGTGAGCACAGTTAAACACAAATTGCCCTTACCAATTCTCGATA